AGTCCGTGTTTGATGTGGGTAATTCAGCCCAGAGAGCGAGCAGGGCTCTGTCGCTGGCCGGGGTCTGTGTACAAATCACCAATGGGACGGGATTGCTGAGGAACTGCCTTGAGCTGTTTTATTTTCCAGCATCAGTCTCATTACATGGTTATGACAGTGGGAAGATGCCAGCAGCTCACATCCCAGGCAGCTGACCAAGAACTTAATGTTACAACTTACTTTAAAAGTTTTTTTGACCAGTCACACAAATCAAAAGCACATTGACAGTAGTTCAGTCCAAGCACTATAAGCACACGTACCTTTGGTTAAAACAATGCTTGCTTATTTTGAATACAATACTTGCTTTTAAGCCTTAAAGCAAAATGCACATAGCTCCATTATTAACCTTAAAACTTCCTAATATCTCGCTAGATAAACTTTTCTGTAACTTAGGGAGTTATTCTAGCCAAACGTTAATACACAGACCATTGTTCTATTTGTCCTTACTTTTCTACTTTTTACATTATTTTTCTGCTGACCTATCTCATGGCTACTGCTTGGCTCTAATCCCAGTTCTGCTGTCTCTGAGGCTGCCTTTTGCAGCTTTCTGAAACCACTCTGATTTTATGGATTCCCACAGGCCCCACTCAGATGCTCGCACTGGCATTGGTGTCTTGGTCTCACTAGATCAGGTGTGCAGTGAAAATGTCCTGTCCCCACACTGAGTAATGGGAATTCCACAAGTTATTTTTTCATGTCGAAGCTCCTTATGAAATATGTTGAGATTCAAATGGGATATTCTGACAGCAGATGAGTTAGCTGTTTACAGGATGAACTTCTGTGACTTCAAAACCTTGTAAAAGGGTATTCTCATGCTGACACATAATCAGATATGGTTTTGAAGTGCCCTTGGAAGTAAAGCAAAAAAGACATATCAACTACTGGTCTTCAAAAAAGTAATTTGTCTCCCTGAGTCCTTTGCCATGCAGCAGTGCCCAGACAGGCAGGAGCTGCTGAGTTCCCTGCATTGAAAGCTCCCCTTTGGCCACAGTCTATAAATCAAACTGCAGGACACCAACAGTTTGATCAACCACTGGGAAGTAAGAAGTGAGTTCCAAAGCCATTACCAATACCTTGGGCTTTGAAAATTGTAGGCAGCTGTTTTATTAATGATAAATTCTATTTTCATATTATCTGTAGGGATCTTTTTCCCTTGGATTTTACAATTCATTTTTTACAAATCTACCCATAAGGAACTAATTTTTTAATTTGTGCAGGGTTTTAATAGATGTTCAGATGATGACTTTAAGCTGCCATTGGATGTGTGGAGCCGTGGCGAAATCACTGCTTCAGGTACAACTGGAATGTTTGCCATGCACCTTCTTTAGATTTTTATATATTGTCAAATTTTAATTTTCATGAGTAGTCTCACAGTTCCATATCTGTAACTGTTAAATACAGTTTCACTGTTACTTGTTTTAGAAATACATTGATCAAAATCTCTTCATGTTTCAGATACAATTTCACAGCAAGTGAAACTTTGCTCTGAAGTAGATGAAGAGGTGAGTTAAGTATCAACTCTGCCCATCTAATTCCTTGGGGTCTTTTGAATTTGTTCCCAAACAGTGCCTAAAGCATTATTCAGTAGATATTTCAGGCCTAAAGGGAGTAGTCAAAAGGGAATAATGTTTTCTGTCTCCTGTTTAAAGCTGAATAACTTAGAGGAGATATTTGTGATTTAGTGAACATGCCTGGAAACAAATCTTTAAAAATTAGGGTGATTGCAATATTGTTGTTGTTTTTTTCTTTGTTTGAAGTGCCTGCGAAGTCTATGAACTTTATTTAGAGTAAGATTTAAACACTTAAGTATCCTTGTGGAACTGGTTCTGAATATTCTGTTGAGGGCCAGAAGGGTTGAAGTCAGAGTATTCTTTGGAAAACTGAAGTAGATGATCCCAATTGCCTTGTCTGGCTTTATTTTATCTGTAAAACAATGAATTTAGTGGTTTCCTCAAGCACTGGATTCTTCTCACAGTGTCTTTACCAGCAGATCTCTGCTTTAGCACAATTCACTACAACTCATTTTTTTTGCAATAGCTTCTGTACTTTGCAGCTACAAAACACTGTTTGCTACCACAAAATAAAACACATTTCTTGTGCTCTCTCTGCTGATTTTCATATCCCTGACAACTTTTTAGACTCTTTTAATCCTAAGCTATTAAAGTACCATCAGGACTGTAACAAAAGTGTGATGCAGCCAAAACAAGGATGGTGTTTGGGGCTGTTGTAAGTGAACCAAAGGGCCCTTAGGGCTCGTGTGTTGCTCTCCCTGCCTCGACCACTGGCCCAGCACTGCTTGTAGGACACTTTCAAGGTGTTCTAAGGGCACAAGGGTGGTGGTTTTCCTTCCTGCTCTGTGTGTGAGCAGAGAACTGCTGGGACACTTGGATATTTATAAATCCCTGGGTCCAGATGGGGTCCATGCCAGGGTGATGAGGGAGCTGGCAGATGAGCTTGCCAAGCCTCTCTCCATCCTTTATCAGGAGTTGTGGCTCCGTGGTGAGGTTCCAGATGATTGGACACTGGCCAGTGTGACACCCATGTACAAAAAAGGTAGGAAGGAGGATCCTGGTAATTCCAGGCCAGTCAGCCTGGCCTCAGTAGCAGGTGAGATAATGGAGCAGTTCATACTGAGTGCTATCACACAGCACTCACAGCATGGCCAGGCTATCAGACCCAGCCAGCAGGGCTTTACCAAGGGTGGGTCATGTCTGACGAACCCGGGCTCCTTCTGTGAGCAGGTGACTGCCTGGTACATGCAGGAAAGGCTGTGGGTGTTGTGTATCTGGGCTCCAGCAAGGCCTTTGGCACTGTCTCCCACAGCACACTCCTGGAGAAGCTGCAGCCATGGCTGGGACAGGAGCACTCTGTGCTGGGCTCAGAACTGGCTGCATGGCCGGGCCAGAGAGTGATGGTGAATGGTGCTGCATCCAGCTGGCAGCCAGGCACCAGGGGTGTCCCTCAGGGCTCTGTATGCTGGGACCAGTTCTGTTTAATATTTTTGTAGACCACATGGATGAGGGCATCAAGTCCTTGATCAGTAAATTTGCAGAGGACACTAAGCTGGGAGCTTGTGTTGATCTATTGGAAGGAAGGAGAGCTCTGCAGAGAGACTTAGATCGGTTGGATGGATGGGCAGAGTCCAGCAGCATGAAGTTCAATAAGTCCAAGTGCTGAGTTCCACATTTTGGCCACAAAAATCCCCTACAACGTTCCAACCTGGGGACAGTGTGGCTGGACAGTGCTCAGGCAGAAAGGGCCCTGGGGGTGCTGGTGAATATGAGCCAGCAGTGTGCCCTGGTGGCCAAGAAGGCCAATGGCATCCTGGCCCGGATCAGGAATGGTGTGGCAGCAGGAGCAGTGAGGTCATTCTGCCCCTGTACTCGGCACTGCTGAGGCTGCACCTTGAGTGCTGTGTCCAGTTCTGGGCCCTCAGTTTAGGAAGGACATTGAGATGCTGGAGCACATCCAGTGGAGGGCAACAAGGCTGGTGAGGGGTTTGGAACACAAGCCCTGTGAGGAATGTTGGAAGGAACTGGGTATGTTCAGCCTGGAGAAGAGGAGGCTTAGGGGTGACCTTATTGCTCTCTACAGCTTCTTGCAGGGAGGTTGGAGCCAGGTGGGGTCGGTCTCTTCCACAGGGCAGCACTGACAGAACCAGAGGACACAGTCTCAAGCTACATCAGGGAAGGGATAGGTTGGATATTAGGAAAAAGATTTTCACCAAAAGAATAATAAAGCGCCGGAATCCTCTTCCCAGGGAGGTGGTAGAATCACCATCTCTGGATGTGTTTAAAAAAAGCCTGGACATGGCACTTGGTGCTGTAGTTGAAGTGTCAGGGCATAGGTTGGACTCGATGATCTGAGAGGTCTCTTCACACCTTATTATTCTGTGATTCTGTGATTCTGTGTGTGTCCATGGCAATATCACAGGTACTCTTGGGCAAAGTCTCTGAAGCTGCTTTTACTTAACTCAGCAGTGTCTGCCAGAAGGAGAGGACAGAAATGGTGGGAAGAACCTACTAGAAGGAATTCTGGCTTCACTGATAATTCTGGCAAAACTTTTATTGATTTTGGTGGACTGAAGTTATCCATGTCTTTAGGCCCATCTATTTGGTGATGTCTGAAGGGGGTTTGGGATATTTCATTGTATTTGTTTCTCCTGTGTGCTCTGTAATGCCTTTTGATACATACATAGAGGATGCACAAAGATTTAAACTTGGACTCCTGATCATATCTAAGCTTATATCACCATCTGTGGAAAAATATTACTCTTGTGATGTTTCTAGGAGAGAAATATGTTATCTACAACAATATTAATTAGATATTATATACTATAAATTGGATAGTATTTGAGATTAAATTGTGGAACCTGTTTTAATAGAATCCAGAAACAACGAATGAATTGTTCTCAAAACTCTACAAAGAGGCTGAGAAGATCAAGCAGTGGAAACTGACTGTGGAAACTGAACTAAACCAGAAAGAAAGAAAACTCCAAGAGAATAGAAAGATTATTGAAGCACAGAGTAAAGCCATTCAAGAACTGCAGGCCAGTATTGTATAATGTACATTGAATAGATGAAGTTCAGTGTTTCCTGATTCAGTATGACACTATTATTGATACAATTAAATATTAAAGACTGTTGCAGCTTGATTTGTGCCTTGAGAAAGTGATTATTTTGAGAAGTTGCAGGCACCTGTCCTGTGTGAGTGTGTGTATGAAGAATAAACCTGTAAGTGTCTCATTTGCTGGTAAATTATTGTTCATTAATTACTGTATCTTTCATGAAAAAGATGACTCAGCATGTAATACCAGATAAAACAGACTTCTGTCTACTGATGCCCTAAATGACTTTTTCATGAGGGATTTGAGAAATCAAAGTGCATTTCTAATACATTTTTCAATAACAGTGTCTTTTTGCATTTGTTCCCCATGAAATCAGTTTGAAAATGGAAAACTCCATTTGAAACTGGAAGATGAGATATGTGAAAATAAAGATCTCTTGAAAGAGTAAGTAATAGAACCAAGGATATATTTTTGTGGTGGAAATAATCCGTTTTCACATGGGCAGTTTTATGTAGCTGTTAAATATTGAAGGTCATTTCCATTGTTACTCCTTAGGTGTACAAAGTACTGTGCACTCCTGTGCAAACATGATATTTTTCCCTCCTTTAGAGCTGCTGCTTCGAGGCATCTGTGTAATCTGCTCAAGGAAACCTACACTCGTTTCACAGAGAAGACCAGCAAATGTAAATGCTTTTTTAGTTTTTATTTATCAGAGTAAATGTGCTTCTAGCTTGCTCTGAATTCACAAACAGAAGCAAGAAGAAGAAATTTCTCGTGCTGTTCAGAGAAGTTCTCCAGTTGAGATCGACTGGATGTGGCTCTCAGAATGAGAAGTGAATTTTAAGTGGCTCACAAAATTGGAAGTGAAGCCCCAGGTCTAACAGACTTTTGGTTTGTAATGCTAAATGCAGAAGGCTTTTGAAGGCAGTGAAATTGTTTGCTGCAAGGTTGCCAGCCTGGGAGCTCTTTGGTGCCCAAACAGTGCTCCAGGTTTGAGGCAGTGCCCACAGCCCCGACTGGCACTGGCAGCCACTGCAGAGCAGGGCAAGGCTCCCCAAGGCTGCTCAGCCCATTGAAGCTTTGCAGTCCCAGCCACACACTGGGAATATATTCAGACATAAGAAGTGACACTTCATGCCTGTTTTTAGGCAGTAGAATCTACTCTAAATTCCCAGCACTCTGGAACAGATTTCCAGAGCTGACATTTCCTGTTTTCAGCCATCACACATTTGTGGGGAAAAAAGGTCTGAACCCCAAGGTATAATGAGTAACTGGAATTCTTCTCATGAAACTGAACAAGCCAAGACAGTTGGATAACCTAATGAAGTTTAAATTCTTGAGGTTTTAAAACATGTTCTTGATTGGGAATTTTACTTTATATGCAATTTAGAATTTTACTAACTTGATCGTGGAGACTTAAGAAGTGTCTGTTTCTTTTTTGTCTTAATTCTAGAAACACTAGAATAGTTGGAATACACTTAATTCTAGAAACACAGTGCATAGATGTACTGTTCTTTTTTGATACCTGTTTCTGTTACTGTTCTCTTTTTAATTGTTTTCTATCAATTACAAAGGGGAAAGAAAAGAAGGAAAATATGGACATGGAGTGTTGCAATTTTATGACAGATCTGTGGTTATAGGTATCTGCTGATAGGAAGAAATTCAGTGCTAAACCCTAGATTACAATTTATAAATACTAACAGTTTTGATACATTATTATTCAACAGCATTAATACTATAATAGTTAATATGGTCACATAAGCTGATCCAAAATTACACTTTTCACAGAAAAAAATATCTTGGGAAGGAAATTTAAAAGCTGAGCTTGCTCAGTGTTTCAATGAAATACATATTTTCCCTAGATTCTAAATTTTTTTGGATTGTAACTTTTGGCACCATGTTTCATAATGACTTATTTAATAACAATGGAGCTGATAATTCCTTTTTTAATTCATTATGCTGATTAAGTATTATGACTTGGGCAGCTGGCATTCTTGTTCAAAAGAAAAACTTTCTCATATGTTCTTGCTTTGATAGATGAACAGGAAAAGGAAGCAACAATACAATTGTATGAGGAACTTCACAGCAACGTAGAAGTAAGTGACCAAGCTTGATGAAAGGAATGTGAGTTCTGTGAGCTGAGCTGAGTTCCATGTTTATGTTGGGATACTGTTTGTGTCCATCATGTGTGGGTATCATGTCATGTGTGATGCAGGAAGTTGTGTTTTCAATCCCTTTTCAAGAATTATTTTTGTGTTATATCAAACACGTTCAATGGAGAAGGTGCAGCAGTGTGTGGGATGTAGATCCCTGTGATCTGGGTGATGTGTGCTTAGTGCTGGGTCACTGCCACAACTTCTGGCTTCTTTTTGGGCTCTGTTTCACCTCCCTGCTGGTTCCTCAGAATGGTTGAGGTGGGCAGCAGCCCCTGGAGAAGTTCCAGGGTTTCCAATATTGAACTTCAAGTATTAAATTTTGTTTTTAGAGAATGACAGTGGCATTTGAAGAGCTTCGTGTGCAAGCAGAGAACGACAGACTGGAAATGAGTTTCAAATGTGAGAATTCTGTTTATTGAGTTTATGCAGCTGGCTCAGTTTTGTACTTCATAGCTTGTGTTACACATGCAGTGTCAGGGCAGGCAGATGTGAAGTGCTGGAATGGTGAGCAGCTCACACTGAGACACTGGGACCCTTCTTTTATTCCTGCTGCCTTTGGTCACTGCCTGGCCCCTTCTGTTGCTGTTCCACTGGGCCAAATCTGAAACTTTATTTTTCAAACAGTCACTCAAAATTGAAGTTTTGTCTGTGAGGTACAGTCTAGAGATCAATATTTATTTCACATAGTTTGTTTATTTAAATGAGAATCCACTAGTGTATAGCTACAGAAACTTTAGCTAAATGCTCTCTCTCTGTATGTATAGCCTGCTATGTTCCTGTTTCATTTTCACATGGTCTTTTCTGTTTGTATTTTGATTATAAAATCAAACATTGCCTCAAGAATTACTCTTGGGAAACAAATGCTAGAACTGTAGAATTCCAAGCAATCTTAAAGTGGAAGTTGTATTGAACTTGGAGTATATCTCAGCTAGAATGTTAACTATGGATGTTACTGTATCTCCAAAGTAAAAGAAGAAGCAGAAAAAGTGGACAAGTTTGAGAAAGAATGCAGACTGGAAGTCAGCCAAAAGGAAAAGCAGGTTTGCTCATTTTACCATCTAAGATGTAGAGCTTTATTTGTGCCTAAAGGGGCAATGCAAGAGCCAAGAAGTGTTTCTGGGTATTAGTAAAAAAGACAAAATAATGTCTGAAGCTGCATTTAAGTCAAATCTGCTAAGTTTAATGATGTTTCAGTACCTTTAGTCTACTGGAATTGATGGTTTGATTTTGAATTGGAGAACTTTTTTGTTTAGAGTAATGTGACTTGATCAATATTTGGCTAAGATTGTATCTAGCCAAATATTATCTATCTATCTATCTATCTATCTATCTAATCTAACTTGAATGACAGCAAAATGTCTGCTTATCATAGCTGGGGTACAAATGAAAATTATTATCTGTCCCTTTTCCAGACTTCATGATGATATTTCTTGCATTTTTCTAGATTTCAGCTCTTACCATACAGAGAGATGAAAAAGATGATGTCATAAAAGACATCAAGGCTCAGCTGCAGATGTCACAAAATAAGATTGCTGACTTAATGGAAGCAAAATGTAAGAGTTCTGCCTGCTGTGTTTAAATGTAATTGTTTACAGAATTTCAATGTAGTTGTTTATGATTGTTTATTTATTATATGTAATTGTTTATTAGAAGCATAGGAAACAGGGCCATGATAGTCTTATTCTGTTGCTGGTTGGCAGCAGAATTTTGGGGCCTTGAAGGCCTTATTTTTGTTTGGAACAGGAGCTGCTCATGTGGGAGCAGGACTGGCAGGGCAGTTTTTAGGGTGAGTCAAGCAGTGAGAGCTTTTGAAAATTGCAAGGGGAAAATATGTTGCTTCAGTTTTGCAAATTTAAAGTCAGGCAGATGTCACTGAGGAAACTTACTTTTCAGAACTTACTTTTCAATATTTTAAGCCATCTATACTCAAATTTTATCTATCATTTTATAGTAGATGATGTCAGTACCATTGGTCTTTGTTACATTCTTTAAATGTATGTAATTTTCCATTTTTAGCAGCATTTTTTAGTAAATATCCTATTTTTAACAATATAAACTTTTTTTTTTGTTTAGTACATAATGAAGAAATGTTAAAGGAATCCCAGGGCAGTAAAGAACATTTGAGGGCAGAGCTGGAAGAGGCTAAAATTTCATTGCAAAAGGCAGAGGTACCCCTTACTTATAGCTCTATAATAGAAATAGACTAGATGAGCATTTGCATAAATAATTATGGATACTTTAGACACGAAACAGCTGTAGCTGTTTGTTGGAAAACATATTTAGAAATGATACCATGTCTTGAAGGTTACTCAAAAGAACTTGGAAACTGAATTCCAGACTACAGTGAAAACATTAATTCAGGTTACTGGAGAAAAGGAAGAGCAGGAGGAAGAATGTAAAAAAATGAAGGCTTTGCTTGCAGCACTGACAGAGGAGTTTGAGACTTCTGTTGCCAATTTGAAAAGCTTGCTGCAAGAAGAGCAAAATAGGTAAATTAATGAGTTGAAATTCCAAGAGTGATCTTACAGGTTGCAGTCTATGACAAAACCAAGAACAATTGGAAATGAAGCTGAAATTTGGAGGGTTTTTTCACACAGTGGTCTAAATGCAGAGAATTTAATGTAATTTTTTTTGTTTGTGATAGTTGATACTGTATAAAAAGTAAATTTTTGCCCCCTTCAACTTGCATAATTCTGTCTTTAAAAAATACAGATTTCTGTAGATATATATTTGTTTACTTTTATGTCTACTGTTCTGAGGTTGTAAAACTGTAATTTGATGTGTGTTGCAGGCAGATAAATTATCTGCCTGTTAAAAGTTAAATGTTCTTAAAGTGCTTGTGGTAAGACGTTGTCTTATTGTCCTGTAAGTTTCAAATCCAGTGCTTTGTACTCTACATTTGGGATTTTTCATTTACCATTTCCTTAGATTAAAGAAATCTGAAGATGATTCAAAGCTGCTTACCTTGGAGCTCCAGAATAAATCTGCTGAACTGGGTAAGGCTTGTAGAAAGGCAGAAAATGAGCTGGGCAGTAATAAAAATGTTTTCTGCTTTTTTCTGGAAATGGACTGTCTCTAGTAGTTTAAGAAATGATTTTACAGTACCTGTACCTGTCAGGAATGCCTGGATTTATTTTTACTCAGCTGATCCCTTTTCTTTGGGGGTCATTGGTGCTGGCAGCAGCCAAAGGGCAGTGCTGTGCACAGCTCCAACAGTCAGACCATTCATGCATGAATTCCTCTGGAGGTAATTTTGGTTTGCAGCTCAGAGCAGCAGCACTGCAGGTGCCAGGAGTGACTTGTGCAGCAGAGATAAAACCTCCCATGGAGGTTTCTGTGACCCTCCCCATGCTGGAAGTGCAATGATGCTGGCAGGGGTTGTTTTTAAATATCATCAATTTGATATCCTGTGGTTTCTAGGGATGTGCTCCTTAGTCCCCAGAGTAAGAGCTCTGCCTTGCTGTTGAGAACTTGTAAAAAATACCAGAATTGTGACTGTGCACACAGAAACCATCTGGAAGTTAGTAACAACTGGTTTCCTTTCTCAGCATATCCATCTGATACCTTCAGCAGTTCAGATTTTTTCTGGAACAATGCAGGTGCAGCAATACTTGGAGAATACTCCAGTCTTACAGTCCATGGTTTATTTGAAGCTATAATTGTGGAAAACATCATAGGCTCTAAATTTTATTTAAGATAAATATTTAGCTTCTCTTCAGATATAGATTTGCTAATGTCTGAATCATCTTTTCAAGTCTACATTTAGATTAAGTCATAAATTAGCTTTTCATTTCCTTAAATTAATCCAACAAGTTTTGAGAACTGGGTATTGCAAAAGGGTAAATGTTTTATACTGCCTGCTAATAATGAAAAATTATTCCTGTTCCATTCATTTTACATTCCATGTGCTGTAGAAGAGATGACTAAAGTAAAATGTGATAAAGAAGTGCAACTTGAAGAGCTGTCAGAAACTCTGGTAAATGTTCATTTTATTAATCTCATGGCATTTGCTCTTCATATGAAATTCCTCTTGCTTTGTAAGTATCTTAAATGCCATAAATAAACACCATCTAGTCTACCTTAACATTTCTACTAAACTTTCTCACACACAATTTCAGTGTTTTCTTTGAAGAACTTCTTTATTGCCTCTGTTTTTCTTGTCTCCCATGCTTTTGGTTTTTCTTGTCTCTTGTGCTTTTGGTTTTCCTTCTCAAGGTTTTTGGTTATTTCTTCTTTGTTCATGCCCATTCAAATGCCACTCCCTCTGGATATAAAGTTTTCCCATTTTTTCTTCCTTCCAGGAAGGTAATTAGCTCTGGCCTCTGTGAACCCTGCTGTGCTGTGACACAGGCCCATTTTCTGTCACAGAAGTCAAAGCTATATGAAATACACTCTTAACAGAAGTTTATTTTCATTATGATTTTATATTTACAAGCCTAACAAGAATCCATATCAACTCAAGTTAAGATAGTGTGAAATCAGGTGTGCATTTTACTGTGTCTGCTTGTTGTTATAATCTGTGCATTGAGTGTTCTGAACTGAGTTTCACTCATTTTCTAAAATGGGCAAATTGGAGGACTTTGATTGAAGAAGAATCTTGAGGCTACTGTAGAAAATATGCAGAGAGAGAAAAATGTGGAGAGAGAAATGAAAATGCTCTCCAAATGAGAGAGGTCTGAAGCAGGGCAACAGTAACATGTTTTTAGAAATACTGAAGTTGCACATATTGAACTTGTATACAAGTTTATACATAAGAAACAGCACCCAGAGCAGGGTCCCACCCGAATTTTGCAGCCCAGGTAATGAAACTCACAGCAGGGGACAGACATGAACAGCACTGGTGTCACAGTTCACTTTGTCACACCACTTCCAGATCCCAGCAGAGATTGGAAAGATGCAATCTGGATAATCCATGGCATGGATGTTGTTGGGTTCTTCTGAAAGCCTTGTGCTCTTAGTTCATGTCTGATAACCTCCAGCAGTTGGAGTTTGCACATGGGAACTCAAAACTCTTCCTTTTCATTTTGCAGAAAGAATTCCATGGTTTGAAAGCACAGCTGACATGTACAGCTGAGAAGGAACAAGATTACTTAAAGCAGCTTGTGACTCTGAAAACAGATCTTGAACAAGAGGCGTATGACCATTTTGAAAATAGAATGTTTCATTAGTTTTGGTGTAATATAGAAGTTGCTTTAATCCACAGTGAAATGAACTGTGATTGTTTTCTAATGGAAGTTTTGAACCACATATATGACATTATTTATATACTTACATTTCTAAATTCCACTTTCTCTATTTATATGTATTCTATGGCATATGTAGTTGTTCCATATCTCTCTGACTTATTTAACAAGAAGAGAAAGTTTCTGAATTCATTGTTAATCTTGCTTTAAAATACATAATCTTCACTAACCATTATATTTATATAAAAGTTGACTCTGATTTTCTTTCCTTCTTCTGTCACCTTTTTACATCTCTCTGACTCTGCTGCAAAGCTTATATTTGTAGATAATTCCTGGACTTCTTTCAGCATGGAATAACACTTGATAATGGGTATGTTTAATTTAAAATGAGATTTCAAAATGCATCCTCTTATTCCTCTTGGCCATTTGTTTTAAATTAGGTTAAAGAATGAACAGCTAACAGTGTATCTCAGTAAGCTTTCACTAGAGAAAGAACAAACAGCACAAGAGAAAAATGCTGTGGCTGCAGAACTCAAGAAACTGCAAGAACAACAAGAGGCAAGTTGTAAACTTCCAGCTTTCTTGAAAGGACAATACTCAGTTTGACAAATGACTCAGTTTTGCAAATTAGATGATGAGCTGCAACATGACTTGGGTCTGTAGAGTACCTGAGCTATTTTTTGTGTTTGAATTGGAAAGGAAGTGTATTTACACTTGTGAACAAGGCAGGTCTGTGTGCTTTGGATGGCTTTGAATTTTTTAGGAAGTCACTTTGAATTTTATTTCTTTGCTGACACATGGGTCTTTATTTAGGATAGTAAGAAAAAAGAAGACAATACAAAGCAGTTAGTTGAAAATCTAGAAGAGGCAAATAGCCAGCTAAGGCAAGTAAAAGCAAATATTATTAACTGATATTGTTAAAGGAAGTAGACTCAAATAGTTAGTTGTGTTCAAATGCTGCTTTCTGGGATTTTTTGTTTAATGTTTTTCTAGATTATCTAGGTAAACAGAAACTATTCAGAATTGCTGTTGGCCAAGTAGAAATTTTCTCAGATTAGAAATACCAATTGCTGCAGGAACAATGTTTGCCATCATTTTGTATTCCATAGTAAGAGCTGTCTTGTTTTGCATTAGACATCTCAGGTGTGAAGGAAATTCAAATGGAAGTTGAAGGTTATGGATGAAATGTGACAAGGCAAAACTGGATCAGAGTTACTCTCTGTATCCCCAGTTCAATAGGCAGCTCCCATGTTTCACAGCTGCATTGCAATAGTCCAGGTCAGGATGTATTTTCCTGGGGTTCCTGGAACATCTTCTCCTACTTAAAAGAAGCATGGACAGTTCACATATTGACTTACTGGGCCTGTTGCTGCATTTTAAGAACATTTTCATTGAGCAGCTTATGAAGTTCCCATCAACATTAGCAGCTCTTTTTAGAAAATAAAATATGGGTTTATTAGAAGTACTGAAAACAAGTTAAAGGCAATATGTAAATATTTACTAATGTTTGTTAATTTGGTACTTAGAAATGAACTGGAGTCTTTGAAGGAGAAAATGGCAAAGACAGGTGAAGAGATGAAAAGCACACTGGATGAAAGAGAAGAAAATGTATGTCCTGTGTCATGAAAATATCTTACAGAACCTGCAGGGCAGCATTCAATGTAAAATCTTTGTTGGGATTTTTTCTGCAGAGCTCTGCCTGGGGGATGTGATCTCTGCCAGAGGTTTCTTCTTTCCCAGCTGCTGCCAGCTGTGCCCTTGTGTGTCCACATGTGAGCCCTGGTATTTCAAAAGACAAGCACAGTCACTGGGATGTTCACTCTTTGCTGGAAGTTTAATATTAAAGATTTATTTGTTTTCAGGCAAACAGAGAACCTGCTTTTCTGGTTTTTATATACCCACTCAGTGATGGATGGGCTCTGGATTAGATTTTTATATGTACTGTGAGTTTTAGCTTAAATAGATTCAAACATTTTTACTTTCTTTCTATTGGTTCAAAGCAACCTGGGGTTTTTAACATTAGAATGGATTTCAAAATTTCATTGTAAAAGCCTAATATTTACAATTTTAATTTCAGGTTAAGAGAACTGAAAATGAAATTTCAAGAAAGGAAAAGCCATTGAAGATTGTAGAAAATAATTGGGAAAATTCATTTTTTCATGGATGTAGGGAACTTCATACAAGTGCATTTTTTAAATTGTGAAAATGCTGGGGGTTTTTTTCTTCTTCTTTCTTAACTCCATAGCCACTAAGGAACTGGTTCACTGCTGTTAATTAACATCTTGTGGTACTTTATGGCTAAAACTCTGATTATTCTGACATGGCAGCTGGTGTTTCAGTCCCATTGGAACAAACCAGACTGGTGCAAGGGCAGATTTGAGAACATTTACAGGAATTGCTCACATAGGGAGTCATTTGTTGAACTTACTAATTCATGTCTGAAATATCTCTTTCAGATGAATAATCTGAAGAAACAGGTGGAAAATAAAACCAAATGCATGGAAGAGTTGCAACAGGAGGTGTGTAGAGATTTTAAATGTCACAAATACATAAACACATTATACTTTGGGTTGCCTTTTCAGCAGGTTTGTGTCTGCTGTGATGTCTTTAGATACACCTATGTAATTTAAAAATTCTCCTTTTTTATCCTAACCCTGAGCAAACTAGGGAGTCAGCTTTGGAATCACTTGATTTGTTAAATGAGCCTTAATTTGAAAAAAAGCAATTACAAAAATAATATCTTTAATAAACTTCTACTCTTTTTCATTTAATGCATAGTGTTTTTTATGTACTTGTATGAGTATCTCAGTTATCACTAGTAGAAAAGAATTCTGCACTAGCACAAATTGTATAAACTTCACTGTAAAAATAAATAACTTGTATTTTTGGTCATGACATCTTCACACCTTCTGTCAGCAGCATCTTAGTTTTAATTCCCATTCTGCTCCTCATTTGTTATTCCCTGCTGCTGCTCAGGAGGAGCCTTTCCTAAGGTCATGAAGAAACAGTAATTATCACAGAAATTAGCTGAACATTCATTTGTTTGAAGAATTGTTCTGGAACCTGAGTTGCACAACAGAGAGTTATTTGCCTGATGAAAGCTGGAATTTCTTGATGCAGTTAAACCATGACATAATTCTATGAACTTATTAAGATACAGTGCTTGTTTTGTTTTATTTCAACAGAATAAGGTGCTGAAAAAGAAAATTACTGCAGAAAGCAAGAAAAGCAACACTTATGAAGGGAAGGTAGGTTTAAATAACATCATGTAGAAGATGAGGTGAGTGTTTTAAGTCCCAGTGTAAGTAATTATAATACTTGTTAAATACATTCTGAGCTGGTTTATGGATCTGGGATACAGACTTTGCAGGAATGAGCTCATAGTTTTTAGAAGATGCTTCCATTTTAATCATTGGGCACTGACTATTGGACATTTAAGAGATGGATTCAAATTGCAATTAATGATGTTTCTTATCTGTTCCTTACTTTTTTTTTCTTTTGTTGATAGTGGACTGAACAGGGTTCAGCAACCTCATTGTAACAGAAAAGCATTTAAAAGACATATATATACACATATATATATATATATTACTCTTTTTAGTCTGTTCCTTAAATGTGTTCTGCAGTGGCAATCCCTCTGATGGGAATATTGTGTCCAGCTTTGGGTACTGCACTTGAAGAAAAGTGGAGTTTTTTGAGGATATTCATATGATAAACTTAAAAGGAAAAACTGTAATCAAAATGCACAGCTGGGAGGAAAATGTACCATAAAACCTGTGAAAATCTGATACAGATTTACAAGAGAGAAGAAACAAACATCTGTGTTTATTTTTTCCTGAGGCATTCAAAGCATTTAGGGTGACTGCTTAGGGCAGTCTTCCCCATTGTGCTGTTGCCATTGTTCCTTTGAGTATTTTCTAACTCACTTCAAGCCAAAGTTCAACTCTTTATTAAAAAAAAAAAACCTGAACTTTTAAATAGGAAACACTTGAATCATACCTGAAAAGTAACAGTGTTTGTGCTCAAAAATAAGAGGTAAGAAAAAATCATCAACATAGTAATTACTAAACAAATAACAGCAGCAATTCTGCATTCTCCAAAGGTGAATAAATTGCAGTTAGAGATGGAAAATATGAACAAGCAACATAAGGAAGAAGTTGACATCTATAAAAAAGACATAGAAACAAGAAAAGTAAATGAAAATAAACTTCGTGAAGAGGTGAGAGGTGTTAATTTTTACTGCAATTTATTTTTTTTAATTTAAAATGTTTTTATGAAGATTTATTGGCCAGAGTCCTTGCTCATATTTCAGTCTTATTAACATAAATGGAACTTGTTGTGAATCCCTGTGAACAAAGCTTTAGTACATTAGGTGCTTAGGTTGAAGTATTTGAATATGTCTTTGAAAATGAGAACTCAATTAAAAATTCTTTCTTTCAAGATATAGTTCAAAGAAATTCCACCCTTGGTATAAAGTCAGCCCAGTTAAATTAGATTATAACTTCTCCCACATTAGTATTTTTCTGCCCACACATTTTTTGATGGCAATGCTAAGAAATGTTAGGGCGGAGTGCTTGAAATGGCCTTTTGGTTTGCAGTGAGCTTGCCTGCCATGGCTGTACCTTTGATCTTGCCCATGTAAACAATCTGCAGAAAAGATGAGGCATTTGAAAGGGATCTTAAAAGCAAATAAAGGCCAAGTGGGACTGCAAACTTTGTACCCACAGGGGGAAGAAGAAATTAAGATTTTTTAAAAAATATATTGTTATGTTGATGAATGAAATGCAATTTATTACTGACAGGTAGAAAAGATGAGGTTGCTTTGTGATGAAACTGCAATGATACAGAGAGAAACTGATGCCAGATGTCAGCACAAGATAACTGAGATGATGGCACTGATGGAAAAGCACAAGGTCAGAGATTTTCCTGCTTGCTGTGGTTTGCAATGGGTGATACCATGTCAATACCATGTTTATAACTTGTGACACCACGTTAATGACCTTTCAAAAGCAGAAACAGGCCTGAGTCTCAGAAAAGGAAGCTGAACACATGCTGGACTTTGCATCATCTAAAATCAAATTCATTTGAAGATTTTGAAAAGATTCCTATGGGCAGATAATTCCAGTCATCTAAACTTCTGGGATTTCTAGATTTTTTTTCAATTCAGGCTTCCTTTGATACCATCTGAATGCAATATTTTTCAGTATCAGTTTGGCCTCTTTCTCAGAGGTTACCTAGTGACTGTCAGCAGTTTAGCCTGACACATTTTAGTTTACCTTTCTATTCCTCATTTTGCAATATCTTTAGCAGATACAGTAATAAAGATGGCACAGCTGGCTCTTAGTGCTGAGCACATATTGCTGCACAGAAATAAAGCACTCTCTGCCAGTCCACAAAATAATACTTGAATTGAGCATTTTCTGTTTTACAGTTTGTGCAGAAGCATCAATGAATCTTTTCTTTCTGAATCCTAAGAGCCTGGTTTGAAAAAATGATGTTTTAAGACTGGATAACTCCATAATTGTAACATTTAGTCACATGTTTTGAGTTTGTTGTTGGTTTGGTTTTTTTACCACAGAATGAATATGATAAATTGGTTGAAGAAAAAGATGCAGAGTTAAAAGTATACAAAATGAAACAGCAAAAGCAGATATCATCAGAAAGGGCACTGGTAAGGAGCACTTTGCAATGGTCAATAATTCAGTGAAGGGGCTGATGTCCTTGTGGAGTGGTTTTATACTGGCTAAGTGCCAGGCGCACACAAAAAAGCATTCACTCATTTTTCTCTGCTGTAGTTGAGCAGTGGAGGGGAAAGAAAAATTCAGGGACTGAGTTGAGATAAAGATTAGGAGAAAAACACTTTGAGGGTAAAGCAGATTTGAACTTAAATAGTATCAAAAATTATTATTAATAGAATTAAAAGTGAGTAATGAGAATTAAAATAAACCTTTAAAACACTTTTTTTCCCAATCCCTGCCTCTTGCCCACCCACAGCACAGAGAGACAAAAGATGTGATCTTCAGTCAGTGTGTGACTTCTAAAGATCTTTTTTCAGTTTGCTTCGAGAGTTTCTTTTCCTGCTGTGCTCTGGGGTCTTTCCCACCAGAGACAGTTCTCTGGGAACTTTTCCAGTGTGGTTTGAATTTTTACCAGTAGCAGTCCCACCCAACCTGCTGCACCAGATCTTATTCTGGGCACTAAAAACTCCAAATGTTTCTAAAAAGAAATTGGAGTAGCAGTGTGCTTGTGTCTGCTCCTCCAGCTAGTGGGTCATGTTCTGACTCCCCACTTTGAATAGGAAACTTATGTTTTAAATATTTAGATTGTGCCCTCTCACTCCTGTTCTCCCAAGGGTTTTAAGCTATTACCTTGAACACTTCTGATCAAATACCTGTTTCTAACAGTGCTTCAGTCTTTTTTAAACAAGCTAAAGCAAAGCTTCAAGTATAGGGCTGAAAAGCAAATAGAATTATCTTGTGTACCTAATGAGTGTCCCTGTTAATTAGTCCCTGTCTCACTTGGGACTGTTTTCCTTTTTCTGGGCTGTGCATAGTTAACCCTGTCCTTTATTTAATGGTTTGTAGGAAAATGAGCTGTCGTGTTTGAAAAAGGAACTGTCCTCCCTTAAGGAACAACTGAAAGCAGAAATGGAAGAAAAGGTGGAGTTTTTTATTCACTGAGCAGTGGGGGTGAGAGGTGTGGCCTGGGCTTGTGCTGTGGGAAGAGCTGGATTAGAAATGAAACTGAACAGAAAAATAGTGACTTTGGAATGCTGGGGTTGTGCTAAATCTGGTCATCTATTTGTGTGAACTTTGTAACAGTCTGTGATTATAGATTATATATAAATAAACAACAAAACAAAACTCTCCTTTATTTTTGGTAATTTTAACTGGCTAAAGCAAAAAAGTTCCCTAAACTGCAGGGGTTTTTTCAGTGACTTTTGAATGCTGGGGTTGTACTACATCTGGTCATATTTTTGTGTGAACTTTGTAGCAGTCTGTGATTATAGACTGTGCTCTGTCATTACACCAAGAACATTTTTAACAACTGAAATCAAATAAATATTTCCTTGCTGTCACATAACTCTTTTGTAGGAGAATCTCGTAAAAGAGCACTCTGGCAGTATGATTTCTGAAAGTGAAAAGAAACACAAGGTAACTTGAACTTTTTAATTGCTTTTAGAATTTGGGAGTGTTGATATGTGTAGAATCAATTGAAATGCCATGACAATTTATTTGCATTCAACAAAAGACATTGGAATGCTTTTGACTTCAAACTTTTTAAATTATAGAAAATACAAACTTATGTTCCTGGTACTCCTAAACCTTGTTTAGATCTATACAGTGAATCTATTAATGTAAAAAATAAAAAGTCTCCAAATTATATTCCTAAAATTAAAAAAATAAAAGTAAAAATAAAAAAAATGTGTTCTTCAGAACAGGAAGCCCCTTGGGCAGTCCAACATTGAAGTTTTGTAACTCCTAACAGTGAATTTTTCTTGTTGCATTTTTCTGCCTGTATTTCTTACTTCTCTTTCGATGATTTTTTTTTTCCCATGGGATAAGAAGGGATTTTAAAGGGTCACACCATTCCATGGAGATATTAGACAGCAGTTTCTGGGAGGGCTCCCAGTGTGTAATTTTTCTTGCTCAGTTGTTGATATTTTATGTCTCTAGAATTGTTTTACATAGTCTTAAAAGTGTCCATTTGTAAAGGCACTTTTCCTCTATAGAAGAGAAAAAAGCTGATATAGCTGTAAAAATGGTCAAAGTATCAAAGTAGTCCTGACTGCAGAACTCACCCTTCTTCCTGTAAGGAGTTCACTTGTGGTTTTCACATTGGAACAATGGAATCCAGCACCATTTTGATGTTATCTGTCAAAAAAAAGGTTGCACTGGACCATTCAATGCTTCTCAGTTTAACTTCTAATGAAAAAACTATTTTAAGTAACACCAATCTTGATATAGCTATCAGTCTTTCTCTGGAAGCCTTTTCCTGCAGTTTTGTTTGTTCCCATTTTCTTTGATGTTTGATAGAGTCCAATGGAGTGGCTACAGTTCAGAATAACCTAAATTTCTGCAGATAAGCATGGAGAACTTAAATACAATGTGCCATGAAACTCAGCTCTTCCATAGCTTCCCCTTCATTCTCCTCATTTGGCAATAAAAATAGTATAAAAAATGATATTTATACCCCACCCCACTTTGTTTGGGTCTTTGCTCCATGTTTGGATGGAAAGATCAGAGTTCCACCATTTCTCTCAGGTGAATTCTTGGACACTCAGACTGTAAACTGGGTCCTGAGTTTGGCTTTAGATTCCATACTTACCCCATAAAATATAATCTAAAAAGAAAAACATTTTCTTTCCCAGACATGTGTTATAAAGACTCCTCCAAGGGATAAAATGCAGAGTGGAAGAAGCACAAACCTGCCTGCAGAGCAGAGCAGCAGGAAAAAGCAGAAAGTGCTTGTGCAGCTGGACACTCAGTCAGACAGCTCTGAGCACACTGACCTCCTGGTAAGAGTCAGAGAACAAATCATGTGCTGAGCAGCTCTTTGTGCTCACTGCTGGGGCTGAGAATGGAAATAAAGAGTTTGGGCTTCCACATTCAAGCCAATATTTATGTATATTTTTAATTTATTGGTTCTTTCTGGAACTGTAGTTGTATGTACATAATTAACATTCTTTTTATGGAACTGTTAAGCCTCATAATGACATCTTAACTTTTTTTTTCATAGTTTAATATCCTTAGGGGGAAAGAAAAAGTATTTTTAATATAGTGTGACTAAGTAACTTTCAATTTAACTTTTAACTTTTAATTTAATAGAGCATAGTCTCAGAAGAAGAAATGTTTAAAAATTTGTACAAAGATTATCCACAAGCTTCACAATTACATTCCACAGCACCAAAAAAGGTATGTTAGCCTTTCCTAAGATTAAACCAAGCAGTTAATCAGATTGTTTACAGAAACTAAAGGATGGCTTTATTTTCCTTCCTAGAGCCCAGCTCCATGCAGCGTGAAATCTCCAGGCTCTGCTCTGAAACTCAAAACCATGAGGAGAATGCGCGAGGCGGGCTGGACTGCACTCTCCAAAATGGACAGGAAAAGGAAAATTATAGATGCTGTAAAGCTCTTTGCTTAAAATGCAGAAATATCCAGTGCCCTGGCATTGCTTGCAGGGCTGTTTTTCTCTCAGAGTTAGTGCTTTGTTGCATTTTTCTGTCATACTCAGTGTGTTTAATACTATGTTCATTCCTTTACACAAATAAACTTTAGAGATCCATAACTGCAACCCCTGCAGAGCTTTTTCCACCTTTCCTCCCTTGTGCTTCAAAATGTTGGGAAAAAAATTGGCCAGTTTTAAATTTGGAAATAAATAGAACTACATAGAAAGTTGTTTCAAAGCTGTTTCTAGCATTAGAAATTCTAGTTTTAAATAACTTCTGTTCTTTTACATTTACTCTGTTTCTCTTAACACATAAATACTTAGTGGAGAAAATGTAGCTGTTAAATGAATGTTCTTTTACTGAAGTCCTCTTGCTTTTTCCTGCATTTTAATGGCTGTTCGACCAGTCTTTTAGATTGTTTTATTTTCAGTATGTTAAAATGGTTTTGAAACTTCTACAATTTCAGTAGAATTACTTGTATTTAAAAAGATTTCAGCTTCATAAGGAGTAAAATATGCATGTTACAAGATTGTGAAGACAATGTGAAGATGCCATTAAATTGTTTATCTGAAATATAAAGTGTGGGACTATTTGTTGTTGCTTTACATATTTGAACACAGACAGAAATCACCCACCGGGCCTTCCTAGGGACCAGCACAAGTACAAGGATAGTTTAGAACATCTATTTCTGTATTAATCCTTGATTAATCTTGGTTTCACAACAATGACAAACCCTACTTCAGAGCCTAGACATAACAAGAAAACTACAAGTACATCTTAAAATATCATGAAAAATCAAAAATCCCAAATGCAGCTGAAGTGGGAAGCAAAACATATTTGTTTTATTATTTTTGTGTAGTCTTAGGGATAGGCCAGTAGTTTGGGTTCCTTATGTTGAGCTGTTGAGCAGTGATGTAAATGAGATTTATTATTGTATGTAGCTAACAAATATTGTGCAAAGACCTGGAAGAATATGCTGTGCTTTCTTCATGAGCACCTGAAAGTGAAAAATGAGAAGTTTGTACTGCCCGCTTCTAGACTCAAACAGTAACTAATCAATTAGAGCCTTGGTATTTTTTAGGGACATGAATCCATGGTATATCACATAATTCTCCTGATCCTGTGAGTGTGTCCTGTGAGGTGCTGTGTCAATCACCTGAAAAAGTACAAAAATATTGCCAGCAACACTGCAGAAAGCTTGCAGGAAATGCAAACAGCAGGGAAGGGTGTAAAATCACATCTGCCCCTTTCTGTGCCTGTTTTCCTTAATGGATGAGGGTGCCCTGCTTGTGGCCATGGCAGCAGTGCACGGCTCCATCTCTCCTGTCTCTCTCTCTGGCTTCAGGCCCAGTTCCCTGGAGCACCCATGGGGGAGAATCCAGGGAGTGAAAGAGACAAAGGGCCCAAACTCCTGGGCTCAGACACAGACACGTCCATGGGGGAAGGAAAAGCTGTGCAAGGAAGTAAAGCCAGGAATTCATTCCCGGCTTCCCACAGGCAGGTGGGTGTTCGTCCATGCCCAGGTGAGCAGGGCTCCACCCCAGGCAATGGTGACCTGGGGACACAAATGCCATCACTGCCAGCATCCCCCCTTTCTGCTCCTTCCCCCTCTTTCCAGACTGATCCTTCTTCCACACGCTCTGGGAATGCCCTGGGCTTGAGTCAGGGTCCCTGTCCCAGCTGTGTCTCTGCCCCTTTCTGCTGCTCCCCCAGCCCCTCGCTGCCAGGGCAGGATGAGGAACAGGAAAGGCCTTGGCTCTGGGTAGGAACAAAAACCTCCTGGAACCTTCCCTCTGTTTCCAGGCCAAACCCAAGCCCTGCCCCAGAGAAGCCCCTGGGAAGGAAGTTCAGTCTCCCCAGCCCAAAGTAGTGCCCAGAGCCCATCCCAGCCCCAGGCACTGCCTTCCCCAGAGCGTCTCCTCTAGGGCAGGGATGGCCCAGCGAGCACCAGGCCGGTGGCGATTGCAGCTCAGGGGAAAACAGGCGGGAGGGGATCCATGCTGGGAGTTCCAGTGGTGCTTTATGGGCCAGCACACCCAAGGGCTCCAGGCACCAAGAACCAAGAACAAAGCAGGGCCCAGGGTTTTATATGGGACAAGGGAGGTGGAGCTTTGGTGTTGCCATGGTATTTTGTGAAAAATCCCTTTGCCAGGAGTTTTCTCCTGAGAAGCTGAGAAGCCTCAGAGGAAAAGAAAAACAATCATTATCTGCTGCTGTGGAATGCAAGGGGTGCATCTTTGATTGGTCCATGTTGGTTGTTTCTAATTAATGGCCAATCACAGTCAGCTGGCTTGGACTCTCTGAGAGTCACGAGCTTTTGTTATCATTCCTTTCTATTCCTTGCTGGCCTTCTGATGAAATCCTCTCTTCTATTCTTTGAGTATAGTTTCAATATATCATTTTCTTTTAATATATTATAAAATAATAAATCAGCCTTCTGAAACACGGAGTCAAGATTCTCATCTTTTCCCTCATCCTGGGGCCCCTGCAAACATCACCACACTTTGGGTCTGAGGCCAATGGGCAGAGGGAACAAGGGCGGTGCAAAGGCGGGACAAAAGGGCAACAACCAACTGGGATTCAGGGGAGGAGCTGCAGGGAACGGGAACCAATAGGAAAGTGGGAGTGGGGAATGTTGGAGATGAAGGGGAGACGACCATCCTTTAATGCATCGAACTCCAATTTTATTGATCAATCAATCACCTTAAATAACAAAGTTAATGAACTTCATGCATATTCTGTAATCCAATTTCATGATAGGCTAACAGAGAAACTTCTAACCACTCCTCTTGTTTTAGAATACCTACAATTGTTTATTAAAAACAGAACCAGTGTTCCCAAAACTTCTTCATCAGTTCTCAGGGTGCCAGCTTTTCCCAGAGACGGTGTTCTTCTTGTTATGGGAAGACAGCGTGAGAACTTTATTGTTTATAAAGAGAGTCTAATTGTTTATAGAAATCAGAAGGCTGAGAACTGTTAGGAACTGCTTTACTTTTCCCTTCTACTTTTCTCTCAATTATATGTCTCATGGCCTTTTTCTTCAAGCCATTCTTGAAAAACTCTCCAACATTTCCCCCGTTTTCCTTTCTTTGAGAGAAAAGAGGTTAGCTTGCCAGGTTTTCTCTATCATCCTACTAACCATCTTTTGAATGCAACAAGGTAAGATAATGGTGAAGTTTTTCCTCATAGAAACTCTTGTGGAGGAGGCATTACCAGATGTCAAGAGAAGTGCAGACCCCGCTCTGCCAGGGCTCAGCTGCACCAAAGGCCTGAGGATAAACAGGACACTCAGTGTCAGAAATGTGATCCTGTGGAGAAGGATCAGAACCAGTGCTCAGAGGTGGAACAATGATAACTTGCTTAAATAACAAGATTCACCCTGCGCTTGGGCTGGTATTCCATTCCAGGCTCTATCTCCACAAATTAGAAATATTCCTGTGGGTAATTTCTTAGGTGTCATGATACTAGAGCCTTTACACTGGTTATAAAGTTGTTTGGACACTATTTCCGGGCTTAGAGATGAATCCAGAGTAGCTTATGTCTGTTTATGCTGACTCATCCTTTGAAAATTAGAGTAATCAAAGCTGTAACTCCTCCAAGGCTGAGACAAAGCAATGACTGATTAATCTGTCTAGCAAGTGTTATCCATACATTATCTCTAGGTTGACTAAAATGTGCTACCTTTAATTCTTCAGCTACTACTATACTGAGCAATATAACAAAAGTGAACCTCATTTTTCTGTTTTTGTATTGACCTTCCTTTTCATATCAGTTTTCAACCTTACTGTTCCTGACACCTGAAAACCACACCTTTGTAACCTTCTAATGGAGTTATCTAATGCTTAATTGGGATCTCCTCTTATAGGACCTACAACAGAATGTTGTGTTAAAGGCACCAGTTTTCTACACCTTATTGAGGCTATATATGAAGCACTTTGATCTTTAACCTTTTTCAAAATACACTGTACCTCCCATCGATAATAAGCCAAGATTTTCTGCTCATGAGATTCATAAAGGTCTAAAGCTGAGGCATTGTTTAGCTCTGTATCATTCCATAGTGCCTGCTCCCAATTATGTTCCCAGATATGCCTATAATTACAGGTGTTGCACCATAAATGAAAAAGTAACAACTGATCACAACCCCCACAACACAGTGCAACCCAAGCAGCACAATTTAGGCTGTGATATTCAAAACAGTTCTCTTTTGCCGGTCCTCTTATATGGAAAGATGATAATGATTCAATAATGTTGTAGTAGACAGGGAGAGGCGCTCGGAAAATCTCGCGATGTCACGGAAAGCAGCAGGGTTCCTCTCCCCCTAACTTCTAGTGATAAGGGATCACCCAAGAATGTAGTTCCCCCCTAACATTAGTAACTTTTACTCCTTGCTAACCAATTACAGTAAGGCAAGACCCCCTGACGTAGAGAAAAAACTTGCAGAGTATAAAACCCGACGAGACGGGACAATAAAGGTCTTGAACCGTCCACCATACTGGTGCTAGCGTGTGTTCTTGGCCCGAGTGACCCTGGAGAGTTTGGGTTGCCGTGCCGTTTCCTCAGAGCCAGGTCGCCTCGCCTTGCATCAGAAGGCGACAAGTGGTGCCGGAAACCCGGGATCGAACCAGTGCCCGGGGAACGGGGATCACCTGGAGAGAGGACGGCGGCTGCACAGCTGGCCTTGTGCAGCGGAGGGGACGCCCTCGAATCATGGAAGCGATCGCAAAGGTAGTAAGTGAAATGCATGCACAATGGGGAATCGATTGTAAGCTCAAGGATATGACTCTCGCATTGCCGAGATTGATTAAGCTGGGGGCTATAGAGAGCCCCGTGGATATTTTACACCCGGAGGTGTGGGATAATTGTACGAAAACCCTGGCCGAGGATACCATGTGTTCAGGCTCGGGGAAAGCCCTAAAATCGTGGGGCAGAGTCATCCGGGCTCTGCAAAAGGCTCGACAAGAGCAAGAAACCTGGAAAGCTGCCAGAAGCTGTTTAATAGCCACTCCGCAGTTAGGGGTGGGGGCAGCGACACAGACCACCTCGGAAAGCGATCAGATTGCAGATGGGGATGTGCGGGGGCTAGGCGCGTCCCACCTCCCCTCGAGCCCGAGCCCAAAACCCCCGGGAGACCCCCCAGCCCCCCCGCGGAGCCCGCCAAATCCCAGCCCCCCCTCGGAGCCTCTCGACAAAACCACGGCCCCTCTACCCGTCCCCCCACCGCCAATTGCCGACCAGACGGAAGAGGCAGAGCAACGTGCGCGGTGTTTTTGGGGGGGGCTGACGGAGGAGGCGCGGGAAGCGGCGGGACGGTCAGGAACCGCCCGGATCGATAACATCTCTCCGCCGCCGTATGGGCTCGAAGATGGCGGCCGGCCGCATGGTCAGGGCGGAAGAGAAGAGGGGACAAAGGGCGGAAGTGGGATCAGCCCGCTTAACATTGCATGCGCGGGAGAGCGGGGAGGGGGGACGGTCCCTGCGGTGAGGGGTGAGACCAATCAGAGCGCTCTATTCAAATTAAGCCCGTATAAGGCAAGGACCTCCCCC